TTCATGTAGTTTTGCTTTTTCTTAGTTATTTTTTCAAGTACTTTACAGAGCTCTGTTACTGATCGGAGGACAGATCTTGGATCCAGACTCTTGTGACAAAGAACCTGATGTGAACGGACAGGAAAGAGGAGAAATATGAAGAATTTTCCTTTTTTGTTTGTTTAACTCAACAATGAGTTTGATGATTGTCGATCAGCGAGGCCTACGGTTCATAAGAATATAGACTGATAGCATTTAGAGATAAATAATCACAATCATGTAGCCTATATTTAACGTTATTTTTGACCATAAACACAAAACCAGTTATACAAAAAAAGAACAACAGTTTTAAAAACTCAGCATCTAAATGATCCTCACAACTCGTCTGCTGCACGTTTCAATCTGTWCCTGGTTCAGTTACGTAAGCAGCTTCAGTGATGAAAACAATATGAACCGGAGCACATAAATCAACCTGACACATTATAATTACACATTGTTTAGTGTTTGTAGCTGACAGGTATGTTGACATCACAGGTGAACAACTTTCAAACCAGGAAGTTCAAACACAACTGGAGCAAAACCTGACAGGTGGTTTTTAATCCCTCATCTGCACCAGTCGTTACACAGAAACAAGGTTTTAGGATCTTGTTTTATTTTTTAACTGTCTCGACTGAAACGATCTGGAAACTGCAGCTTTGTGTTTTCATGTGGATGAAATAAAAATGGTTGCAGGTTTAAGCGTTCAGCGTTTGTTTTAGCTTCACAGCACACACAGTATCTTTTTTAACGATGACAGGATGTACGATAAGTTTGAACCCAATCCGCCTTCCCGTGTCGCTGCAGGTTGTGACTCCGGCTTCGGCCACGCTGCGGCCAAACGTCTGGACGCTCTGGGCTTTGAGGTGTTCGCCACGGTGATGGACCTGACCGGGGACGGAGCCAGGGAGCTGCAGAGGACCGGCTCGTCCCGCCTCACCGTCCTCCAGGTGGACATCACTCAGCCTCAGCAGGTGCAGCAGGCGCTGCTGGACACCAAGGCCAAGCTGGGCCTCCGAGGTAAATTTATTTCACAAACATGTAGAAGAGAAAAAAGGCTGAAGCATAAAAAGCATGTTAGAGTTTTAATTATCAAATACAAAATGAATTAAAGCTGCAAAGCTGGGTTTCCAGCCAAAATGTCTGACTTCCTGTTGGTTTTAGGGCAAACCTCCAAGAGACTTTTCTTCTTGTTTTGGGAAGGTCTACCTACGTACCCAATTTCAGCTTTCTACATGTACCAGTTCCCCTACCTCACCTTAGGTGGCGCTGTGGAGCTGTTAGGCCACGCCCCTTGAAAAGTCCAAAGAAATACTAGCATTAATAGTTTGGGTAAAGTTTGTGAGTTTTCATGAACGTTTAGGCATCCAAATTCGAACTTTTGGTATGGAGCTAAATTTGGGTCATAAGTTTTATAAAAAATAAAAAGTTTTTGAAATTGAAAAATAATTTTGAAATTGAAAAAAAAAGTTTAAAACTGAAAAAACTATTTGAATCTGAAAAATAATTAGAAACTGGAAAAGTTTCAAACATCTTGTCTTTTCAGTTTCAACTTTTTTTTCAGTTTTTAACTTGATATTTTCAGTTTCGAACTTTTGACCCTGATTTGGCATGGGGGGGCGGGGCCTCAGGTTGACAGGCGGTGCGGAATCATCATTGACAGATCAACACAGGAACCACCAGCTTCGAGTGGAATGTTGTCAGTCCATTAAATGGCCGTTATCAGAGGTTATCAGTTCCAGACTGTCTGCAGACTGTCCCTGATTACCTCTAATAACAGTTTCTGTTTCAAAATTATTTTTCTGTTTCAAAAACTTTATTTTTGAACCAAACTTATGACCCAAATTTAGCTCCATATTTTGGAGGCAGGAGAACTATAATAATATTAATAATTATAAGAAGAAACACTAACATTACAATAGGCCGTTCGCAGTTCTTCACTGGTATTTCTAAAAAGAACGACCATCACCCACCATGTTTTAGTATCTCTTGTACAGGACTTTCAGCTGTTATCAAGTTAAAGTTTTTAGCTCAACGTCTGTAAAACAGGCCGAGGTCTTTCTCTGGTTTCAGCAGCCGTCTTAATCTGGGTCGGTTCCAAAGGATTTTCTTGTGAAAGCACATCCAGTGATACTTTCTGCAAGTATTAATAAATTAAGTTGCTAACAGGTAACGTGAGCACGAACACAAGCAATCCCATTAATTATGACCAACTTTATTTGCAAAACTCCCAATCCACCTAATCTGTATGTTTTGCAACAAACAAAGAAAAAAACAACCCAAGATAACCCAGAATCGTATTTTACAGGAATGGAACAGGAATGTTCACCCAGCCGCCTTCTAGGAACCTAGATAACTGTTCCAGGACCAGTCTGAGGGGCTTGGGGGGGGTTGTGTCCTGTTTCACCTCAGGGTTCAGAGTCTCCAGAGCCTCTGTGATTGGCTGAACCCTGCAGCTCCCACCGGCTTCATAATTACACAGCTCAAAGTGCTGGCTGCACCTCGCGGTCATCCAGGGACACACGACGTGTGTGTGTGTGTGTGTGTGTGTGTGTGTGTGTGTGTGTGTG